CATTTTCGGTCGTTCATCAGAACGACCGGCCCTGAAACTCAGGCACCGAACCAAGGTTTCGGGAACAGGCTATTCTTAGCCTGTTCCCACGCCAACCTCAAGCAGTTGCTGCAGCGCCAGCCCCTGGCATACTTCGGCATTGGCAAGAGCAGCCTCCTCGACCTGGCTCGCCCTTCAGGCAGTCAGGAGGCAGGCCGAGGTAGTACATAGGAACTTCCCATGCACTTCACGAGGAAGGCAGGAGGCAGTTGTAGTCTTCGGGATTCGGGAGAAGCACTCTGGAGGGAGTGCTGCAGGGAGTAGTAGTAGCGTTAGCCTTTAGTCTTCAGTGCTGGGCGCAGTAGGTAGCTGTAGTCTCCAGCGTTGGGCGCCATAGCTAGGATAGCACTAGAGAGAGAGAGAGATTGGGCGGAGGCCCTGGGTACTCACCTGCAACGCCGTTGCTCCAGCTTCGTCTTCGAGGTACCTGCAACACAGCGCCAACATCACAAGTTAGTATATGGTTTGTAAGAAAGAGAGAGAGAGTTCTTATTCTTCCTCTTCTCAGTCCACCATCTCTTTCTCCCTCTCTCATCATCTGACTTCACTGCATCTGCAGACTACGAGAGAAGAGAGACAGAGCTTGGTGACATCGGATCCAGACTCGACTTTTGGGCTTCAGACATTACAACGAGGGATTATTTGGGACTTGTGACAAAGACTTGCTGTTGACGATATTCCCAACTCTCTTCCTCCTTTCATTTGATTCCCTCCTCTTCGTCTGTGTATGTCCGGACCTGGCGTTTTCTTCCTGTGTACAGCGTCAGGCTCCTTCACACTTATTGATGGATGCGATGTATGTTGGTCTGCATTCAAACATCGATTGGGCTAATTATTAGCATCCTAGCATTCTACTTCGCTATCTTTTGCTACGTGAAAGAGGTCAGTCCCGGTCAGATCAGGACTTGTATCTAAATCTTCCACTGCGCTATTCAGCACCATTTTGTATGTATGAGAATGCACATTGCTTGTCGAGATTCTACATGCACTGCATTGTCCTTTCAGTTTTTTTTATCACATTGCGGATCCTCGGTTATGATGTACATCGCTCATCTAAGCATGTAACAGTTGGTATCGGAGCACCGCACGTGAATCAGGACAACCTGATCCGACACGTGTGCAAGGATTAAATAGCTGATTAGTCTTTATTGATTGATTAGAGCACACTAGTTAGACCCCAAAATCACGATTTTGACCTTACTACCGAAAATCAATTTTTTTTTCTTTTCTTGAATTTTATTTGCTCGCTATTCTGTTGTGGAAAATCGCATTCGTGCAACATCTGAAATCTCCATTTTCGTTTTTCTTCTGAAAATTCAAAATTTCGTTGTTAAAAAAAAAAAAATCCGGAATATTTTTATTTTCAAAAATTTCAATTTCCTGTTGCATTTTTCGTTATTTAGATAATTCGGAATATCTTCTATTTTGAAATTCGTTTTTCTGAAAACGGTACGGAAAATCCCTCCTGCAGGTATTATTTTCCAAACTGCGAATATTCGCATCTGGGAAAATCCGAATACTTGTCATTTCTTTTCAGAAATTTTTTTTCCGCTGTTCTAGGATTTTGTTAGTCAGTTCTATAATCATTTGCAGTCTGAAGTCAAATTTTTTTCCCATTGATCATTTCGAACTTCAAAGGAGGCCAGGAGACCTATTGAACTTGCAAAAGTCGGGATTTTTTTATTTTTCGAAATTTTTTGCAAAGTTCAAACTTTTCTTTTTTGATTAGTGGCTCCTTATCTGGGCGATTCTTCCCACCCACCCTCCCCATCTATGTTGTTGCCCCCTCTGGCCTTACCTTCTCTACCTATCTCCGGGTACCCCCTGCAACGACATTGGTAAGTTGCCACATCAGCAGGCCACGTCAGCAGACTACGTCAGCAGGACACGCCAGCAGACCACGTCAGCAAGCCACATCAGCAAGCCACGTCAGCAAGCCACGTCAGCAAGCCACGTCAGCAAGCCACGTCAGCAAGCCACGTCAGCAAGCCACGTCAGCGGACAGAGCAAGAATACCACGTCAGCAGGCCCCCGGCCTGGTACATGCTGTTGCGATCACAGACAGCCGTCATGGATCAGAGGCTCGGTGAAGCAGACGAGGCCTATCTGGCCCGGATGATGGCTTGGAGTACCGAGACAAAGAAACGGGCAGATGACGCAGCTGCAGCAGCGAAGAAGAAGGCAGAGGATGCCGAGCAGGCACGTCTGCTGGCACTCAAACAACAACGCGAGCATGACGAGGCAGCAACAAGGGCTGCCGATGAAGAAAGGAACCAACGTCGTGAGAAGATATTTAGCGGAGGGCAGACCTTGCTCACAATGGCGGCGGAATGGCGGACCAAGGCTGAGAATGGCAAGTTGGAGGATTGCGAAAACAAGATCGCTCTCCTCCTCTCGCATCTCACAGACCTCCTGGCTACATGCATTACGCAGCAGGAGGATATCCACAACCTCGACAACTCGCTAGCTAAATTACAAAGTCGCCTGCAGCAGCTGGAGCAGCGACCTGTCGCCGCACCCGATGCAAGCGCTTCCACCACCTCCGATCGCCTCGAAGCATTGGAGATGCACGTCGCCTCCATCCAGGACGGCGCACAGTTACAGCAGACGGCGACGCAACAGTTGCAGCAGCGGATCTGTACCACCGCCAATACCTCGAGTTCGGAGCCTCGCGAGACAACTCCAAAGTTTGACGGGCAGGAGATTTTCTGCGACTCGATCAAGACAGATCCGATTCCATGGTTCCGCAAATTCGAGCTCACGCTGCAGCTCCACAACGTCAAAGAACACAAGCACCACTCATACTTGTACTCTCGCTTAGAGGGCGTGTGCCAGGCTTGGTTGGACAACCTCTTGTCCAAGTACGGAGTGTTAGCTGCCGACTTACACACCAAGATCAGTTGGGATGATCTGAAGGCGGCGTGGCACAAGCGGTTCCAGGTTGAGCCGCCGGAGATCAAAGCTATGGACAAGCTCATGGTCTTCGAACAAGGCACGCTGCCGAGTACCGACTGGATCGCCGAGTACCAACGCTTAACGTCAGTCCCAAACATCCAGATGGACTTCAAAGCCATCCGCCATTACTTCATCTCAAGGTCCTGTCTGACATTAAGTAATGCCCTGACTCACGGCGAGGACACCTTGACGACGATGGCGGAACTTTTTGACAAGGCCGCGCAGATCATCATTACGAACAAGGAGGCGAAGAATCTGCGTTCGTTTGCGGCAGGCCCGAGCCGGGATTAGCATCGGCGAAGAGTGGTCGTGGTCACGGAAGCAACGCCGTTTGACCAAACCAGTGCGGCTGTGTCTGCCAGTGAAGGGGACAGACTCGGAGTCGCCCGGGAAGGTGGCCGCCCCGGTAGAGGCCGAGGACAAGGCAAGCCGAAGACAAACACCGCATCTAGCCCCGGTCCCGGCGCAGCAGCTCCAGCCCTTTGGACCCAATACGGCATCTCCGAGCTAGCATTCAAGGCGCGCACGAGATTCCACTATTGCCTATGG